AGGCAGTCAAGGCACACAGCTGGCAGCAGAGGGGTCGGCCAGCAATGGGAAGCATGGCAGCAAGCCATGGGAGAGATCAGAGCAGGAAATCTACCTGCCCAAGGACAGGGCTAGGGGCAGACAGCCCTGAGACGTAGCTGGGGCAGAGACTGGGACACCTGGCTGGGCTGAGCTGGCATCCTGTGCCATGGAGCAGGCTCTGACCCCAGCCAGGAAGGGCCATTACTGCACTGAGAACCCTGAAAAAAGGAAAAGGACTTGCACATGTGCCTCTGATGGTCCTAATCGTGGGTTTGAAGAAGATTCCGGTCAAAGAATTGTTGATGAAATTTATTCAATTGGCAGGTGGGCTAGTTTCGCCTGAGGAAGGACAGGCTCATAGGTTTTTCTCTATGAGAAAAGCCTCCTCTGAGTCTGATGGGACCAATTGGAGGCTGGTTTGGTTATTGACAGCCTGAAAATCCAATTAGAGAAGTTAGTTCGCTCTGTGAACACACATTTTGAAGGAGGTAACCCGGGAAAAAGCTCTCTTTTATTTCCGATGGCTGAGCAGGTAACGCCGGCCCGGGCTCCCTCCCATGCCGGGGGTAGGCTCGAGAGGCCGCTGGGCCCTGTTTGCAAACCAGGGGACCCCATGGCCGGGGGGAAGGAAAGGCTCGTTGATAAGACCTTAGCCCGGCTTCCTCCCCCACGGGCCTGCGGCTCTGGGGGGATGGCCCAGCTCCTGCTGCTGGCTCGGAGCAGCTTCGGAAGGGCCGAGCCCGCCCAGCCCCGCCCAGCCTGGGGGAGGCAGCCGGGCCTGTGTGGGAGCAGGGGTGGCCATGGGCAGTGTGGGGGTGCAGCCCAGCCCCAGAAAGGCTGATTGGGACCTCAGCCACCCCTCACCCAGTGTGACGTGGGGGGGAGGCAGCCGGGCCCTGTCTGGGAGCAGGGGTGGCCATGGGCAGTGGGTGCTGCAGCCCAGCCCCAGAAAGGCTGATGGACACCTCAGCCGTCCCCCACCCCAGTGCGGCCTGGGCCTGCCCCAACTCTTGCAGCTGTGTGAAACTTTAACTCTTTAGTGCTCAGATAGGATTTGCAAAACCTCCGGCCTTCCTTTGAATATGAGAGGGGGAAAAAAGAGATTCTCTAAAGTCAGTGAAGCAAGAGCTAAGTTTTCGAGATGGAAGGAGAATGAGAAGATGCTGTGGAAAATTGGCTGAAAAATCCTTTTGCAAAGTTGTAGGGATGGACTGATATCACACTGAAAATTCCTATAAACCGTGGAGAAAAAAGGCATGGAGGGTTGGAGATGTTCCATTTGATAGATCATTTGACCAAAAAGCACCTGTGTTGAGAATCTTTTGTCCCGAGGAAAGAAGGGGATCTCGGTTTTCTGAGGATGAAGCATGAACAGAGAGAAAAGAGATGAAGAAAACTTTTGCTTTGGAACAGTTCAGTCTTAAAAACCCCATGAGTTTAACATGGCCCATAGTCGCAGCTTTGGGAAAGCTGTAAAGATGGGAGGAGCTTCACGACTTTGAAAGTTTTTTCCCCGGCGGATGCAAATCATGAAAATGAAACCACGAGAGGACTGTTTTCTTCCTCCTTGCGGGGAAATCCTTATAACCTAACAAGAGGAAACTTCTCTCTCCGAAGTGAACTGAAAAAAAGAACTATTTAAGTTGGGAACTGACTGAAGTAGATTTTGTATGTTCGTTTTGTTGTTATGAAGGTTGGGAGAGGGAGAGGTTATTAGTCTGAAAAAATCTTATTCTGAATTTGTTTTTTTCCCCTCATTTGTGTAGTTAATAAATTTCTTTTATACCCTTTTAAGTTTTAGGCCTGCCTTGCTTCTGCTCCTGGTTCTGTCTCACAACGGAAAATGAGTATATTTAAACTGGCAAATCAAAACTGACAGCAGAATTTGTCTCCCCGAGTACATGCCTCTTTGACCATAGACTGTACTGTCAGTCAGTCAGACCCAGCTTCTTTTCTTTTTTGTCACTCAAAGACTACTTACTGAAATAGGAACTTTCCTTACTTGCAAATAAAAAATCTTAGTTATTTTGAGAGAAATTTTCAGTAAAGGTACATAAATATATTTCCTTCAAAATAGATTCTTAACTAATACATTATTTATTGTTATTTAAATGCAGTTTAAGAAGGTGTGGTGGAGCATCTGTTCTTGTGCCTGCTCTGTGATCTCAAGAGCTCCTGATAATCCTTGACCTAACCAGCTGAGGGGTGAAGTGTCCCTTGAACATACCAGCTCTTGCATAGTAAAGATGGGAACAATTCTGGCTGTAGCATGAACATCAGCTGCCTGACCAATGTGGGGGACAAAGGATAAGTGACTAACCACGTTAGCCTTGGTAAATCGTTTTCCTGAATCAACCAAGTGAAAAGGTACCGTTGTTATCAGACCCTCTGAAAAAAATTAACCTTAGTCGAGTGAAACGGTACCACTGTTACAGAAAATTGAGCAATTTCAGGAATTATTGACTTGAGATAGAGTCAGAATGAAACTGATGACTAAAGGCAATCATCTTGCAACCCAGTAGAGAGCAGGCCTAAGTGAGGCCCTTTGAGCTCTCCTGGACTGCAGTGGGCTGTGCCAACACCTCCCTCTGAGTGGGACACTTCTCAGACCTTGAAAACTCTCAAGTTTGCAATGCTTGGAAGGCCATCACTGACAAGGAAGCCGAAGCTCATACCCACACACACGCTCTGCTCGAGGTGCAGCCCATGCCTGCTGAAAGACACTAAGGGGTTTGATGTGAATATTTCATTGGACCCAAGGGGAAGTTTTGGTATCTTTACACACATAGATATAGATGCATACCTCTCTGCTTCTCTGTGTGTGCATGAATTGTTTATGGCGTGAATGTTGCTATACTGAATCTGCAATGAAGTCACTGTCAAAATTGTAGAAAATTCTGTTGAATCCATTTAGTATTGATGGCAGACCAGTGTATCTTACAACAGTGTGGAAATAGATGGATTAAACTCCAGTTCTCAATTCCCTCACAATTCTGTTTTGATAATAGATGCAGAGCCTGCATTACAGATTATTTCTAAGAATTAGGGAAAAAAAACTATCATTACTGAGAGAGTTGTACAAAGAGCTGGCTCAGGATCTGTTGGCTCTGAAGATACATGTTGTGGAGGTACCTGATTCATAGCTTTCACAGAGACTCCTAAAGCAAGCAGAATTTACATCTGCTATGAACTCAAACTGCTATCCTTACACTTTCGCTAGTGCAAACACAAATTAATAACACTGGGAACAAAATTAATTATTTTCTCAAAGGAAAAAAATAGGAGTTTTCAAAGCATGATTTCAGGAAGCAAGACAAGTTTCCTGTTAAACTGGTCAGGTCTTTAAATACCATTTTCATTAGGAAATGTTTTAAATTAACAAAACTGATTTAACTGAAACTCAGAAGATTTTAGTGTCTTACATTCCTATTTAAAATGATAAGTGGCTAATTGTATTTCTTTTTGACAAGGCAAACCTTTAAACATATGTGCGCAAAGAAATTTATGAGTTTGAAAAATTAATTGCTCCAATTGGAAACATTGCTAGTAGCTATGCAAACACAGCTTTTACTTATACTGTAATTTCCACTATTAAATCAGCGATCCAGATTTACAAATATTCTTTTCTGTGTTTGGCATATACATAATTTATATCTTCACTTGCTCCTGTCCTTAAGCTATGCCATGCTTCTCTCTTTATTATGGCCTGAAACACGTGGCCCGACTTCATCTTTAGTCTAAGCCATTGCACCCACCTGCTGAAAACAAAGAGCTGACGAAGCTTCTCCTTATATTAAGTTTTAAACTTTGACCCTGGTTTAACAGCTCAACATAAAAACAAGCCAAAAAAACTTTGTGCACCAGACTAGGAGGTATGACTATTAATGTCTTTCCAAAGTTCCTACATTTATCTTCCTAGCTTCATATGCATATGTTGAATGACTACCTAAAATTGATGAATACCCTGATTGCTACTGTGTTACTTCTGCGTGTAAAAGTACTTCCTTACTGGTAATCAGATGAACTGTGTGTGACACAACATAAAGCTTATAAAAAATAGGATATTATTACATACAAATCCTGTAATAAAATTACTTGTCACATATAAAATATTTTTAGCTTCACTACTGTGTCCTATCTAGAATTCTGTGTCCAGAGATGGAGTTACTGGAGAGACTCCAGCAAAGTGCACTAACATCTGAAGCATCTCTCAAAATCAGAGCTAAACATTATATCATATTGCTCTCACTGTTTCACAGTTCTATAGCTAAGAGTCCCTTATTGCCTGTAGTTCTGAACTCTGATTTGAAAAATAAATTATAATTCACAATAGGTTAAAAATCTAACATTAAATTATTGCTACAAGTGAGAAATTATTAAAAATAATATGCAACCTTCTGTATAATTTTAACACAATATGGAGGAGAGCAAGATGGTACCAGTGCATTTTTGGCCCTAAACTATTTAGAAAATCTTGCAGGAACACATATTTCATGGATCATGTAGAATTTATATTCTATAACAGCAAAATATGCTATTATACATTTTTTTATTTTCTTATATTTTTTTATTTTCTTATTTTCTTATTTTATTTTCTTATAGTTTCTTTTTATTTTCTTATAGTTTCAGAACCCAACAATTAGGGTAGGGTTGAAATATGGATCATGTTAAATAACAATAAACAGAACTGCAGAAGCAACTACATATTTTACCAACTAAATGCGCAGAATTTTTATTGTATATTTGCAATTTAGATTTTTTTTTAAATTCCACTTCTGTGGCAATTCTCTTTCATGTGCAGTATATGCATGTGTACTCATAGCTTCCCCTGAAAATGTTCCTTGTATTTATCTCAGTGGCTAATTGCATAGTTACATCAATGTGGAAAACTTTACAAAAGCAGAAAACTTTTTATCTGTATATATATATATATATTCTAACTGTTTTTAAAAAGGATAAATAATTTGCATATATTTAAGAAAAATAGTAAGATACTGGAAAAAAGGATAGTTAACGTTCTTCATCAAATGAATGAAAAACCTTAGGAGGCCAGAAGACTGTTTTTCAAATCTTTTCAGTAAAAGTCAGACTGTGAGGGGCTATGGATGTTTTTTTAAATACATCATTGGGTAACCACTTAGGAGAAAAAGCTATCGAAGACAAAGCATATTGTTGGCATGAAAATAAATGTGTAAGCACTAACTAAAAAAAAAAATATGCAAGAAATAAGGGAAAAAAGTCTTTAGTCATCAAGGAAGTGATTCTCTGGAATATTCCAAGAACAATACCTGGTGACCCAGCAGAACACTCCTTATCCTCAGTCTTTACTTTTCATATGTTTAAAACATTGTGGGCTGCAGTCTCGCAGCCCTTCCCAACAGCTGCGACTTCTTGCTACATTAGCTAAATGTCACTTTAAAGAGTACAGAGGAATAAAAGGGGAAAAGAATTAATGCTGTAAAAAGGTAAAATATATTTTTAGAATATAAGACACTAAAGCTGAAAACTCCATTTTTATGGATTTCCAAACACAGTTTTTCAAGGTTTTTAAGTATTTTTCCAGTTTGTCAAAAGTAATGCTGTCCTTGGGATTTGCCCTGCAGTTTTATAGCTATGAGCCTTTCTTATTTACAACTGCATTAAGCAGGTCACCTGGTAGTAACATAAATGGGTTTGAAGCAGTGGTGATATTTAGTCATTCCTAATAAGAATGCCGACTAGGAGATATGTGTTCCAAGGGGTCAAGAGATGAATTATGTTATGGAATACAGAGCATGGAAACCACAAGCTATCAATTAAATTCTCAGCATTTCAGTGGAAAGAATTGTGGATTATCAACAAGACTAATTATTCTCAAATGCTAATTTTGAAATCTCTGGCAGGCTATTAGGTGTTGTCAGTGTTACAGATGTATTTACCAGGAGAAGGAATATGTTTGTGGAGAAGAGAGAGGTTTATCCTCCATACTATATCAGCCTCTGACAAGGCTGCATAGCTGTTCAAGTCTATGCATCAGTAGCTGACACACCAGTCTCCTCTTTATAAACAACATTTCTTTCATCATAATCACCACTATTTATCTTTGGTTGATTGCTTGTGTATTTCTGTATAAGAAGACACATGGGCTCCAAGAGCATACTGAGAAGAAAAGAAATTGGAGATTGCCTGAGCTAAGGCACCTACATTGTACGAGCACTTTAACATTTCGTTCAGTCCCTCCATGTAGGAAAGCACATTCCAAGGTCTGGAATGGAGTTACAGAGCCACTTGTTGCAAAGCTGCAGCATCCCTCAACTCTTCACATAATCCAGGAAGCACAAGGGTTATACGAAAGCACCTTTTTCTTCCACCCACACACATTCCTCTCAAGAAATATGAAAAGAAAGTTAGCACCACAATTAGTTTCTTCTAATGTACAATATCTGCACATTTCATTCCCTGGGGTAATTTTCAAAGAATTCAGTTTCCCCACCACCACCATCTACTTATATTTTCAGATCTAGAAATACACAATAAGAACTGTAGTTGCAATTCTTAACTTAATTGGCATTCTTTCAAGTGCAATTATCTCTCAAAGATTGGCCTTTATTCTTGCCACATTGCTACTTAAAATGTCTGGGGTTTTTTTTAATACACTGACCATATTCACTCATTTTAAATATCACTCTGACAACTCTATACAACAAAAATCACTGAGCTTGAGAGGTTCATTCAATTAATGGTTTTAACATTTAGAGTCATAAAAAGCAGATATTTTTCCCTATACAAACTTAAATTGTTTGGGTCTTTTTCCTAATTAGGAAGAAGTCAAGGAAAATAAAGAACTGAAAATATGCTTCATCCTTTATCTAGCCCACTTTTGAAAATAGATATTTTCCTTATGTTCAGCTAACTTTAATTTACTCAAGCAAGATTACTCATTTCAGAGAACAGGGTTCCTGAGGAGGTCGCTTCTGTTTTTTCCAACTGATGGAAACAAAGGAAAAATATTGCTACTACTCACAGTCTGGCAGTTGCTGGCAGTCTCTGTACTTTGATCAGATTAAACCTAAATGCACTATCTGTGCTTCTTGAGCCATTTTTGCATTAGAATGGTTTTTTTAAAAATGAAAAAGAAGGAAGTCTGAAGCCCTGTTATTTTATTTTTTTTCCCCTCTACCCTAGAGAGTATTTTTAATATAAACAGGAATTTAAACTGTAAGGCAATGGTTTTAATGAGTTACATTATTAAAAAAATAAAAGTAAGACTCTAAATTTAAAAAGAAAAAAAAAATACATCTTTACTGACCTAAAAAGTAATTCAAATATTTTTTTGTTGTTGGGAGAAAAAGTCCCATTTGGTTTTATTTATTGGAATATGCCAACAAACAATGGCAATATTTCTGAAATTAAAAAAAAAAAAAATAACAGCCCAAAATAATTTGCATGACTAATGCTCAGCTATAGGTACAGAAAGTCCAAAGCCAGTAATTCCACAAAGTGTAAATGGAAACATTTGCCTCATAAGTATGTTAGTTCCTCACAATATTAGAATTCCTCATCCTATTACAGCTTATTACAAGCCTCCATAAAATTCCAATAAAGAGTGTCATAAGGAAGAAAATAATAAAACCAAGCTGAGTGACGTCCTGAAGCAGCATGCTGATATCTCTCTGCCTATGCAGTGTAGAGGCAAACATATACACCAACAGATGAGAAGAAAACTGAAAGTTCTTGACATAGACTGATGTATGTCTGTGCAGGTGGTATGGTAAGTTTATTTTAACATTTCCAAATATTCAGAAACTGAAAGAGAATGTATCTAGTATGCACAGTTGTTGCAGTTTTGTTTTACAATCTTCTTTTCATAGTCTCTATTCAAAGATGTTTTATTTTGGCATTTTTTGTGACACATTGCCCAGTACAAAATTTTGCAATGGATATGTTGCTTTTAAGTGTGGGGGTAAATGATAATTTTAATGGACAGTACACATGACATAAGGGATCATCAATAGAGCTTTGGTTTGGAGCAGATTATTCTGCATGGTCCAGCAATTACTAAGAAATTCAAATTTAATATCAAGTGAAATTAATTAACCTGAGGGAAGAAAAAGGAAATATTCGACGTAGCAGGAGTATCACAAAAGGGAAAACACTCTTAATTTAATAAAGGTGATTTATTAAGTGTTCTGACAATTGTAGCATCCTTCTAACATACTAAATTTGCCTTCCAAATAATGTGTACAATGATGAGCATGAGGTGTGGAATGACTGTTTTTATTCCACATGCCACCATTCTGTTTCTTCTTAAGTTAAATTGTTTAGGGACATAATGAAACTGTCCAAATGTAGTACAACAATTTAAACCCAAAATATCACTTTGCAGTTCCATAGCACACACTATATTTGCTATGAAGTTCTTTAATTCTTTCTTCTTGTGATCTTACTTAGTTCTCTTTCTGAGTAGTTTAAATTAATTTATCCCAAGGCACTCAAGCCTGCTTCAAACAGTCTACTGTTTCAGAGATTTTGATGGGGAAGTGGGAAAACTGAGATAGTAAGAATCAGGAAACCTATCTGTTCATCTACCTAGGAGCTGGCAATACATGGGGTTCTGTAATTAAGTATGAATATTCTCAAGAAATTTGTATCCTGAAAAGCCATTGTCTTTCTTGAAAGCATTGATTTCACTGGATTCTATAATTTAATAATATTTAGCCATGTGACAAATATGTAGAAATTTTTCTTCATGATGATTCCAAATGCAATGCCATATAGTCCTATTTAGGATATTGTCCTTGTTCCAGCTAGGACAGGGTTAATTCTTGCAAGAGGTGCCGTGGCTATTGCCTGGAGATTGTTCTATACCACCTCACATCGTTGCTGGGGTGGGGAGAAGGGGTCCCTTCTGGGTCCAGTGTGGCACATCATCATGGATGAGGCCGTCAGGTATTGTTTCCATTGGAATGATCCACCTCTTTATTGTACCATCTGTGATTGCTACTGTTGCTGCTACTCTTTCTTTTCTTATCTCACTGCTGTTTCCATTAAACTGTTCTTATCTCCACCCATGATCCTTACCTTTCCTGCTTCAAATTTTCCTGTCCAGCCCTCTGCAAAGGAAGGAGGAGGGTTGGAGTGAGAGAGCAGTTCTTGGTTCCAGTAGGAACACGAAAGTGGAGAATATAATTCCTAAACCATAACAGAAGTCTTGATGCTTAGAAAATGCAAGGGTCAAGAGGATAGGCTGTCTGACTTGCAAATAACTCAATACATACAGCTAAGCTTTTGTTGAATAGTTTTCTAGAAAGTATCAAAAAGCCTTGTTTTAGAAAGTCAGCTAGTCTAACACAATTTCACTCTTCTTAATTGTCTTTCATTCTTTAATTTTCTTGTTGACATGCCAACAAGAACAGACTTCATATCCCAGATGATGTGATTCAAGTAGTCTGACATAATGCCTTCAAGGATTTAAGTTGTCATGGACTTCATAAACTCAGAAAGAACAGTTCAAATTGTCAATAGGCAACAGAGAAAACAGACAACATTTTATTAAAATGTAGTAGAAAAAATAAGATGCAAAGTGTAATATTTTTATTTTCCTTTAAAAACAAACAAGCACATCAATTGTGGTGGCAAAAATTGATTAATTATTATAATGTGAAAAAGCACACTGAGAACCAAAACAAAGAGCCAATGTTGTCAGTGTGAGGCTTTTTTTTTTCAAGTTTTATAATATTTGACATGTTTCATAAATGTTCAAGTCCTGGAATTACACAATCATAAAAGTCTGCAGTCTTTAACTTCTTTATTTATTGTGAAACTAAGATCTGAAGTTTTCATCATCATGAAAACAAACTTGAAAAAAGGGACTATGAGGGATAAAAATAGGATTTCTTTGAAAACAGACGAAAGTTAAAAGATCTAAGCTTTTCTGTCATTTGGAGTGCCGTGAAAATAAAATATTTTCAAGAATGTAGGGACTTGCCTTACTGTGTTGAGCACATCACGGTGATGCTAAGGAAGTTTCCCTGTCTGACCATCCAGAACCCACACTGTCAGTCATTCTCACCACCTGAGCTGGGACCAAGGACCCTTCCCAGCTTCCCACCCCACACTCACAGTCACACCACATTCCCTCACTGGCTCAACCCCAGGTTTCCCATAGCAGACATCCAAATCCTTCAAATCATTTAATCATAGGGAAACAACTAGATAGCAAAATAAGAGCTCGAGCTGGTGCCTCTGAGGAGGGACCCAGAACAAAAGAACTCCGGGAGGTTTTTAATCCTCGCAGTCTAAGGGGCAGCAGTCTGGGATGCTCGGCTCCTACCATGTCTCCCAGTGTCCCATCACCTGGCCAGGCTGCAGGTCCCTGTTCCCCTTTGTTATGCAGTTCAAGCCCCCTGGCTCAGGCTTGGGTTCCTGGCCCCATAGAGCTCAGCCTGCAGCTCACACTGCAGCTGTTCCACCAGGCTACCTGCACTGAATGGATTAATACTGGTAAACTTCTCGCCAAGTGCCTCTTACAGGCAGGTAAGCTTCTGAGCTTCTGTGGAGCTTCAAGGAAAAAAATCTGTCTAAAATACGAGGATCTTCAAACTATCTCTCACCTCATCTCAGAGATTCCTGGTCCAGTATTCAGCTTCCCTCTTTTTCTCTGTTTAGTGGCCAAGTTCAGCAGATCCGGGTAAAACTCAAAAGATGAGGCTCTGCACAGTTTTTCACCAATCCTTCTCTATTTCGTGAAACTCCTGAATGGAACTGGATGTAGTTACCTGCTCTAGAGTACTGAAGAGATGTAAAAGTTTACTGTACTGAAACTAGCAGCAAAAAAGTAATGGTTTACTGCAGTAGAATAAGAAGTCATTTTCCTTGTTTTGCAATTTTTTAAAAAAAGAATGTGTCACATAATATTTGATCACTCCAAATATTAAGTTTTACTGAATAGTGATGATGTTGATGTGGATAAAGTGTCCTCAAAAGTGGTTTAGTTTTGTATTATTTAGAAAGTACTGCAATTTGTCATAGAATAGTGCATTCACTTCTAATTAAAAAATGTGATCAGCTTGGAAACCGAGCACTTTTAATCTAATGGTGTAATTGAGAACAAGTGAAAGCATCACTCAATGTCTTTATTGTGAAAGTATTCAACCTGTCATATTTAAAAACATTCTAACTCCAGAGAACACTTTATGTATGCAATAACTGCTGTCATTGCTTCTGTTACTATTCAATTGTGTCTTATCAAAAATCTTACATAATATTTAGTTAAAATGCCAGTCCAAAGGTTACCCATAAAGAAATGCAAGAGGATTTGCATAATAATTACTCATCAATTCAACTGAAGAAATAATGAGTCTTTTAAAACCCTGAAAATTTTAATAAGGTTATAAATCCAACTTTGCTAACAATATATTGTGTTTTTCTTTCAAGGGTGCTCAAAAATCCTTTTAGAAGTAATAGTGCAGTATACACTTAGAAAATAAATCACCTGACCATAATAGTTCCAGTTTAGTGCAATTCTTTTACTTAATTAATAATGGTAATAATCCATGCTTCAGTATTATTCCCCTCTATTATTAATCATGTACTTCATGGACATTATTAATTTAAATCTCCTAATATCCTGAGAGATGAGTAAATACTATTATTCTAGCTCAACATACAGCTGATATGGAAAGGTGAAATAACTTGCCTAATGCACTATGAATAAGAACAACTATTAAGAAATTAAGAGTAATTTCTACTCCCAGAATTAGGATATATGTTTAAAATCATATGATTTATATTTTTCCAGGGTATTTTTAGTTTTATTTTGTTTTCATGGATTTCGGACTTCAGTTGTTTTTTCAATAATTCTTTTTAATGGTTGCTCTCTACAGCTGTGGAGTTTAGAGAATTTTTTTCTTAAACTAGACTGAGAAAGATGAAACTCGCACATCAAAACTCATCCCCAGTGGCCTAGACTTCAAGCAGAGCAACAAGTTATTTAATGCTCAAACAAAAAAACAAACAAAAAGCAAACAAAGAAAAAAACCCCTAAAATAATCCAACACAGCAGAATTAAAATCAAATCATTTTCCTAATATTTTTTCTTGATTAGGTCCTAAAGGCAAACTTTTACATCCATACTCATGTGCCTTGCCTACACAAGCAACTTGACTTTTGCCAGCTAATTATATGCACAGTGTTTTTTCTTCAGTTAACTGAAATTCAATAAAGCCTCAGAATAATTGAGCACCTGGGTTATTTTTATGTGTGTAATTGGAGGGTTCTGGGCTGAATTTTAGGTTCTAGTTTTGAAAAATCTTAACCTATGTCTCCTGACTTATACTTGGCTTCAGGGAATATTTTTCTTCTTAACATTTTATTTATTTTGCACTTGTCACCATAGCAGATTAGGGGAAAACAAATTCCACAATAATTCACCAAAAGCTGTGAGTTCTATTTTAAGATTAAGAGCAGTTGGTTCATTAGAAAGTATTGCCATGTTAACTACATAGTCTAGAAACTGATGAAATTATTTTAACAGCGAAATTAACACCTTTGACAGATAGAGTACAGGAACCATAACAAGAGGAGAAGGTAAACAAAAACCACGCTTCCTGAAGCTGTAGATGTTTTGTGAGACCTTTGTTTAAATAGTCCTTCTTAATGGTTTCTCTTTTCAAAAATTTCTCTGTCTAATTAAATTCGCTTTTTCTTCTACAATGTAAACAAAACGCATGTAAATTCAGCAGGTTCATGATAACCCCTTTGGCAGAATTTCTCAGCTTTGTGCAGTTCTTTAGTCTCAATATTCTTTCCAACCTTACTATAGTAAGCTTATGTGAAATGAGGAGCAGATAGCTTAATATTTTTTGACCTACAGCAGAAATTTGAATGGAAACTACAGAAGCTCAAGCCCAATTTAGCACTAATATAATTGTCTTCATATAGTAGAAACAAGTTGTCCTTTCACTGTAATACTTCTATTTCATACTTGAGAGAAAGGACAAAAAGGAATATGGAATGATTGCTTCAATGATCATATAGATCAAATATGACTTTAACATGCAAGTAAGCACACAACTAAAGGACTGTGCTCTTTGATTGACTCCTGGGCCTAGTACTGTCATAAATATAAGGTCAGTCACTTTTTCAGTGTCTGAACCAGACATTAATTTTTCCTTTATGAACTTACACTCCATTTGTGTATTACACAGTGCTAAACCTAATTTTTCTGTTTCCTGAATAATTGATACAGAGTCATTATCAAAACAGAACCATTTCACAAAAGAGTTTTCCAATTCAGTCCCTCCACAAGCAGTTTGACCTGCACTTGCAAAATAGATAATTTGTAAACCACCAGGTCATTTTCCCCTTAGAAATAAAAATTTTTAAAGACAATATACTCCAGATGAAAGCAGCAATATCTGGTAGTAAAAAAAAAAAAATCTCTATATTAGAAACAATTATGATTCCTCAAAATCAATATTTTTAACTTGTCTTTGCTTGGAAAATATGCTGCACATATCAACAGTAGAAAGAAACGTTCAATTCCCATAATCAGTATTTAAACACACTTTACTTAGGGATTTCATCATTTTCTTCTAGGGTTTTGAGGTGGGTTTTCCTTGCATTTTAGGAACTTTGCAGGTGGGATATTCTGAAGTAATTTATTTGCTTTTTAGATGCACTTCTCAGCAAGATTAGAGCTTTTATTTTTTTCTTTATTTTCTTTATTTTATTTTTCTTTTTCATTTTTTCTTTTTTTCCTTTATTTGGTAGGGACTATGTGGCTGTGAATAGCAAGCTGTATTACTCAGATGCTCAGAGCATGGTGCTAATAACATCAAGGTCATTGGTTTGATCCTTTTATGAGCCATTCACTCAGCAGTTAGACTCAGTGAACATTGTGGGTCCCTGTTGCAGTTGGGGTTTTTGTTGAGGTGAAGCAGGTGAAGAAGCAGGAAGGGCCTTTGCAAGGGTTTCACAGAGATGTTTATTTCAGCCACGTGTGAGCACAGTCCTGGAGTTCAGAAGCAAAGGCGTTGGTCTGGGACTTTGGGTTAGGTACATGGGGGTTTTTCAAGGGTGTGCTTAGGGCATAAGGGCCAACAGGGAACCAGGGTGTGAGTGACCAAAAGGCTGACACAGAGAGAGAGGGCAGGGGGCTGTCCTAAGGAACAGAACAAGGGTTGTCTTGACCTGATAGAGCAGGATAACTGAGAGGCTTCTCCTATCTTTCTAACCGGGAGTGGCTTTCAAGGTCTCCCCAGGTCCCTTCCAATTCAGAATATTCTGTGATTCTGTGTCATTCTGTGAAATTGAACTGAAAACAAAGAGGCTGTCAATAGACAACCTTCCAAATAAATAGAGGGAAAGCACACTTGACTGAGTGAAACATTCATCATCCTGTTTTGATCTTTTGGTTATGTGTTTCTTCCTTTGTGTCATTCCGTGTTCTGTTTTCACATTTTGCTCGCATTTGAAGAATTGTACACTTCCTCTGAGATTGGTGTTTCACAAAAAGGAACAATGAAATATCATTATGGCTCCATTTTACAAAAAGTTCTAATTTCTCTGCATAGGCCTCAAAAAGGTCTTTTTGTCATGCTGTAATGTCACCACACAACTTGTAAAATCACCTTCTACACAGGCATGCTTATGTAAGCCCAAAAAGTCTTCCTAAGATATGCAGAGGTACATTCTTCATAATGACCTCAGACAACAGAATTAAGCAGTTTAACCTCTGTGAGTGGTACCACAAGGGAAATTTTAAAACTGCAATATTTAAGTGTTTTTAAATGTCCCTAAACCATTTTATAACTATCTCATGTTCCCATACCTATAAGAATTCAAATAAGGATTTAGTTTTCGGCCGTATATACATGTATTTGTTTTTCTCATTTATGTTAAAGGTTCTGCAGTAAAAATTATCGTGTGGAAAGGTACATGAAACAGTATCAGTAACAACAGTTCTTATATTCTGCTAAAGGAAAAACCACTGTCAAAATGGGATTTCATATTTTGATTTCCTCTTCTTTCAGATAAAAAAACCTATCCATTTCATTTCTGTAGCACATTTATTGTCATTTCTTACAGCTCTGCTGCATGTGCTACTGATGCTGTTTAAGCATTATCTGTTACAGAAGTAACCTCATCATCTACATTGGGATATATGTGCACATGCCTATAAACTATTTTATTGAGATTTAGCTATGCTTCACTTTACCCAGAATAAAAGAAAAAAATAGAATATAAGATAATCTTACAGATGTATCAAGAAACTGAACTAGATTTTTCAAAAGTTTATACATTTCTAAGTGCTCTTACCTTAAAAAAAAAAATGCAGATTTATATATAGCTATATTTTCCCTGGGAGACTAATATTTATTAATAATCCTCAATGTCTTTACCTTGGTACAAATGATTATGCACAGATGATTCAACCAAATAAACATTATTGTACAAATATACAGGGAAGACATATTACAATCTCATATAACTTAAACTCTGAAAAAGTCTAGAAACAGAGGCTGTAGAAAAGACAGTTTTGTTAAAAGATCTAGTATATAATGAATATAGTTGGGATCAATTAATTAATTGTTAATTAATAATTTTCTATTGCATTTGGTTTATTTTTTTTCTTTGCGTAATGTACCTATTTCTTTTGCTAATTCTTATCAAGACTGATGGGGAAAGAATGGTAATGGTAATAGCAGATAGGCATGACAATTTCAAATACTGTGAAAAGAGGGAGGAGAAAAGAAAGTCTGTCAGCTGGAACTGGTCCGTTGCTTGTACTTCAGTCCAGTTGTAGCTTCTGTGCACTGTAAATTTTTCTACTTGTATTAATGTTGCTTTTCAGCATTGCCATAAAAACTCAAATTTGTTGAGATTCAGCATTTTTAATGTGGATAGATAAAAACAAAATCTGCTCACGCTTTAGCAGTTCTTACCTTCCCCATACTCTGCACACAAATAAAGTTACCTGCCAAAATGCATAAATAGCAAGAAGATGCTTTTCATAACAACTTACTATCATTATGAAAGAAATTTTATGTATTTAAGACTTCATATAAACTACAGAAAGTGTATTTGACATGGTTTTTGTGAAAAACACATCTCTTATTTTCACCTACTGCTGACATTAAGAGAAACAACCCTTATCCTCTTCCATGTAATCAATATAAAAACACTGCTGTGTGCCTTTTCCTATGACCTACAGCAGATGTTCTTCACTCTGCAAACTTAATTAAGCTTGTCTTCAGTACCAGAAAGCCAAAAGGCTGCCATGTGTGTATATATATATATATGACTTATAGGTGTGTAATATTTTACTTCTTTTAAAATCTTAAAATATTTCACAGTGGTAACTCTTGCAGCCAATTCTCTCACAGAAAACAAGATATTCCAGGCAATCAAAAACCAACATTCCATTACTGAAGTATGAAATACGGAATTTAAGACAGGTTAATTAGTATGTCTATTTGCACATGTTTATTTCTATGTAGCAGGTATCTTGGAAACTTTCTGAGTGAGATTATGTGATTCAAGAAAACAAATTATGTAAGAATAATATCACAAGACTGTTATAATAACAGTCTTCATTAATTTTTTTACTAAATCATTACTCTATAGCTTAGCAGAATTTCTCTGTCATGAAAACATGGTCAGTTGAAAACTAATCCACAAGAAGAAAACTCCTGTCATCTTCTACCATGTCATTTTCAGAATATCTATCATGTTCACAAAAATCTTGTATCTCTTGACAAGTGATCTTTTCCAAGACATGGTAGATGTCCAGCACAAACTCTACAACATCTGTCAACACTCTCTGTCAATATGGACAATATAATTTGCATACTAATATCTCACATAATGGCTACATCATTACCCATCTGAAATATCTACAAAGACAAAATGAACTGTCAGAGTTTCGATCCAAACAAACCGAAATCAAGAATCACTCAAAATTAACTCTTAAATTTGCCATCAGCAAGCAATAGTTTCTCTAAACAAAAAACCACAGCTGGGAACATGAAGACAAATTTATAGTGTGACAGTATTACCATAAGTTCCCTAAATAGCTCAGTATACTTGAGTACCAAAATTACTCTGTATGTAAGACACATAGATGACATTTTCAACATCTGAACTTCCAATTTGGAATTTCTCAATTCAACAGAAATTTAGTAATTATGATTATGAAACTGTCTTTAATTGTAACTGTAATTATGTACTGTTACTGTAACTGTAATTATGATTATGAAACCCTATGAAACGGTCTCTAGAAAACTTAAAATAATGACCTTTCAAAATATCCCATGCCATATCAAAATGGGAACCTAAAAATTTATACGTGCATCAAAAGCTTAGAATTACAGATGAAAGGCAAGATGAATAATGTCAGGAAAAAGAACGCTGCACACAGGAAAGTACTGCAGAATTGACTCTAAAGTAGCCTTTGTGACTGTGAAAACATATTAAGAATCACCCTGAACAGTTCTTTCAAAATGTCACCTAAGCACTTAGCAATAAGCAAGAAATTTAGAAGGAATAATAGGAATTATCAGTAAATTCATATAGAACAAACCAGAAGATGTAATCCTATTTTATACCAGTATAGTAGAATTTGAAAATGTCTAGGCAAGCACAACAGGCATTATCAGAAGTGTTATTTTCTATAATATTTTCATGGACCTCACACTGACTGCTTGGATTTTGTGGGTTCACTTGGAGCTTATTGTTTCATCTACTTTTTCCATAGTCAGCCACAATTGGCTACCTTTAGAGATGCAATACCAGTTCACAGAAAGTTTTGATCTTTTCTCATGTTTTACCTTCCTTCTTCATTGTTAGCATTTCAAATTGAAGGGTAAGACTCCATACTGAAGCGATGAAAAAATGACTGCTGTTTGTTTATATAGATTATAAGAATAAAAAAAAAAATCACATAACGTGCAAGCTTGAAATTATAGTTTTACAAATTATTAAAAATTAGTTTGGAAAGTTTCAACAAACACATATACTCAGCTATTTATTTCAAAATCTTATAGTCGATTCTCACAAAGCTTTAAACCTTTTTGAAAGATTGCCAAAAAATATGAATGGTAACTCAAGTCTTTATTTAAAAATTCTATTTTTTATTGTGATGTCTAGGAATCTAGTATTCTTACTAGTATTCTAGTGTCTAGTATTCTTCTAACTCAACATTGCTGTGTAGCTATAAAAAATATAAAACTATACTCCATTTTTTGATTATTTAGTTTCTGAACATATGCAGTAGATAAGGCAGAAGAGTACAACACCCATTTATTAACCTAAAACTTCCCCAGTTGAACCCACTGAGATACATTGTTCCCAGTTGCCAGCATAATACCCCCAAATCCACAAAAGCTGTTCAATTTTACTTAGTTGCTTTGTTAGATATTCCTTGATAAGAACTTACCACGAATATTTTACAAATTATTTAGGGACATGGTTTCCAATTTGAGTTTCACAATTTTCAGTTTGTATAATCTGTCATTCAATAAGGTTTGTCCTGC